CACTTCTAATAATAAAAGAATAACTCACCAACTGTTCTAAGACAACAATTTCAAATCCTGAATCTGATGTTTCTGATTGGGTTTGGGAAAGACCACCCATCGTAGGTCTATTAACCTCTGTTCCTACCTGTCTATCTTCCATTTGCCTACATTTAAAATTCACATTTCCAAATTAATGAATACTGTTGCTTGAAATTTACATTTATTTGTTTATATTTTATATTTCAATAACTATTAGTTTTCAATAGCCTAACAATTTTCTTATATGTATTTTTTGTTTAATATGTATAAGCTTTCAGGACATCTATTATAATAATACTAGGTGCTTGTCTGTCCTGAAAATGTTCACACACCTTATTATCTAAATGCGCATGCACTTCATTTCAACAGATGAAAAGAAAAGGTGAGTGTAAATATACTTAAGACATTTTGTAGAAAAACTTATTAAAAGCTGATCAATGTTTCTAAAAAGATCTAATGTTAGGAGCTAGAATAACATTATAAATTTATTTATTGATAGCATTAAGTACAGTAAAGTTTACCCCTAACTAAACTGAAGCAAAAAATGTACATAAGTTACAGTATTAATTTATCTTTTTTATCAAATATACACAATACTAAAGTTAACCCAAGACAAGTGGACTTGTAGATTTTGGTGTCTGCAATTACAATTATTTTGTATTATTCTAGAAATCCTGTACTTAAAGAAGTATTGTTGCAATAAAGTTGCTAATTTGCTAGTTTTTAATATTACACAATGGGATCATTGCTTGCTTGAAATAATAAAATCCAAGATGAGCCAAAACCTGAGTCAAAATTTGAATTACCCACTTTCACTGCACATGAGGATATCCCCCATGCAGCACATGAGGATATCTCCCATGCATATAAGATGTAAGTATGCTAGAATCACCAGGTATCATGTTCACTTCCTAGAACATAACCTTCATCAGAAGTACAAAGTTGTTTTTACACAAAGTCATATATTTTGTTAATAGTTTACAAAACATTGTATATATATATAGTTTGTTTTTATCTATATACTAACTGACAAGAGAGGCATAGCATATATACAGATTAAAAATCTTGTGTATCTGATTTGTGGTGCAAAACTTTTGCCAGATGAAGCTACTCAGCCTTTCCCTTCTAACAATATTTTCAGTATTCATGTCTGAAGTTTATATAGTTTGTTCCTGATATTTACAATATGGCAATCAAGTATTGAAGCTGAAGCAAAAATAAAAGAAAGATGTTTAGTAATAAAATCTTTAAAAAAGCTTGATAAAACCACAATCATTAAATCCAAATATCATTCAGCAACACCTCAATCTACACATCACACTTTCTTTTAATTCTTCTTTTAAATGATCTATAATTTTTAGAATTTTTTGTTGCAATTAAGTAGAATTGCTTGTGATTAATGTTCTTTGGTCTAAGAACTGACAAGTAACTATGCAATTTTAAAATTTTTTTTTCAAAGAAATCATTATATAATTCTTTATTTCCTCATTAAAAATTCCTAAATTCAATTGAAGTTAAGCACTTTTAAGTCATCTAGTTTAACTTTACACTACTGTATCTGTAAAAAGAGGTTTTTAAACTTTTTTCCTTGTAATCAAATTTTAGGTATTGGTTAAAATGACGAACATCTGAACAAATGAGGTTTTAATGGGGACTTCATATTTTCTAACATGTCTATTTTTAGAAAATTTTTGTTATTAAACACAAAGCTACACAATGGGCTATCTGTGCTGTGCTCTCCACAAGTAGTGGAACCAAATTTTTAACATTATCAGACCTCAGACTTACCAAAGAGCCACTCAGGGGGTTTAGATAATGGAAGGATATAGAGTTTTCACAACTAGCTTATGGGAAAAGCAGCTTTACCTCAAAATAATTTCAAAGAAGTTGCTTCCTTTACTTTGTATTTTCATACTATCAGTTATTATTGTTTTATGATTACATTAGAATTTTTATTCCATAAAACTAAGCTTTAGAACAATTGTAGAAAAAAGCAGACATTATATTATTTCACTGCCCTAAAATACCTATTTCAGGTACTTACAAGTCTGACATCAATAAATCAGTACATAAAATAATAAATATTATATCTGAAAAATAATGTTTTATTTCACACAAAAGAAATAAATGTATACCAACAATTAATTAATGCTCTGCTTGAATTTTTGATACATTTAATTTTTTTTTCTACAATTTTAAATTTCTTTTAAGTCAAAGTGAAAGATTATTTTACTTCAAACAATTACATCTATCAAAGTATTGAATCAGTTAATTTATAAACTACATCCATGAACAAAACTTTGAATTATTTACCTGCCATCAAATCTTTTGTTTGGAGAGAATTTTTCTTCATCTAGATGTAGTTTTTTTACCACCTGTTGTGTACCTGTAGTGATACCTTAATTTCATTTTACAGAATTCTCAAGAAGCAAAAGCCTATATATATATATATATATATATATATATATAACTATAGACTAGTTATTAGTTAACTTACTTAACTACGACTATCTACTTCCTTTACCGTTTAGGTATAAGTAAACTAAACTAAATAAAAGT